ACCATCATATGTGTAAAGATGAAACTTTCACAAAATGTGTAACTAATAATCATAATTCATTTCTCAAAATTTCAGCTCGATCCGTCTGGCGCAAAAAAAGTCGATTTTTCAATCTCTCTCATAATGTATTTAAGTGAGTTCAACCGTATAAAAATACATTATAGCTCTAACTAGACATTTTATAGGTGAGGGCCTACTTCTAGTCTCCTTCTTGTGGTTCTGGTTTTATGGTGTTGGCAAGTGAATGGGAAAAGAATTTTCATATGATCAAAAAGTACAGCGATGACTATTCTAGCAGACACAGGATTCCGACAAAAAATGAATGATGAAGGATGAAATTCTAAAAATACATCATGTTCTCCAGATCGAATGCTAGATATATTTGGTTCAATTTTCAGAAATTCCTTTCGTGTCGGTCCGCTATCCAAATAGGAACAACTTTGCAATACACTACCTTTTGCGTTACGCCAGCGAAGTGGTGTTCTTTTTAAGTCCAAAATACCAGTATATGTTCAGCCCATAATGAAACATGTTAGAAAGATAATGAATTAAGTTACGAGGAGCATGAAAAGCAAGAATTCTGTCCTCTCAGTAACGTCTCCACTTTTGTGCGTCACAACGCCTTTTTTAAAAAATCATTTGGATCGATACTTGCCAATATTACTATTTTAGACAAATTATCCTTTTTTACTTATTTTTTTAGAATTTCAATCACGATAAAACTAGCGGAATCTATCACAATAGTGATGGTAGTATAGATACCTTATCATTCTGGAGTGGATTTAAATATGTTATTGACCTTCTATGGAATTATTTAACTGCAAAAACGATACTTAACCCTTTAGAACTTGAAGAGCGCACAAAGAACGATAATCTGAAATTGAATACCTTTCAATTAGTCATCTTGGGCTTGGGAGGTATAACAGGATGTGGCATATATGTACTTGGCGGTCAAGCCGCTGCCGAATTTTGTGGATCATCAATCATTCTGTCCTTCATTATTGCATTTACTGTTGCTTGTCTTGGTGCTTTAACCTACACCGAATTAGCAAGTATGATGTCCATTTATGGTGCAGGTTATACTTATACATATGCAACAACAGGTGAGATTTTTGCTTGGATTGTTGGATGGGAATTGTTACTTGAATATTTGGTATCAGCCGCGGCAATACCTACTGTATGGTCCCACTATTCAGTATATTTTTTTCAAATATACAATAAATGGAATAATGAACGACAGAATGATTGATCATCATACAAGATCAATCTGTTTCGTAGCTCTCTTTAATATTCTATTCATAATTTTTTGTTACATTTGTACATTACACTATATTACATTTGTATATTACACTAATTTTCTACAAAAGCTGTATTGAGCTTTTTATTATGAAAGTAAAAGTGGACGAATATTAGTTGATGATGTTGACCTCCGATGTTGTCGAAACAGGAGGAAAACCGGCGGTTAACCACGGTTATTTTAAGATCTGACGGTTAACTGCGGTTAGCCGTCGGTTTTCGTCCGGTTTCGACAGCATGGACTAATAATACATATTTCATCGTCTATTATTACTTAAAGACCTCTCTCTGATGTTCTGTATCGTCCGAGAAATCTATATTTGTCTTTTAGTTACTATTGTTCTCATTGGAACAGTACGTAACACACAATTAAATGCTCCTTATCCATTGACTTTTCCTGCTAATTGTAATGGAATGAAATGGTTGTCTATTACCATGACAGTTGGTGCTCTGTGCTCCACTACATCAGCTTTGCTAGTTCCACTAATAGCTCAGCCAAGAATATTTGTAACTATGGCAAGAGATAAATTACTGCCCAAAAGATTAGAAAATAAAACTTGTAGAACAATAATAACAGATAATGTTTGCCTGACCTACCAGGTCATAATAGAAACTTCTCATTAAAAAAGTATATTTTCTTTTCATTAGAGATTAACTTTACGCGAAAGAAAAGAAATTATTTTTCAAGTATTATAGGCAAGTATATCGATCAAAACAATTATCATCCATTTTTTCTAAAAAATAGCGGCAATTTTAACTCGTTCGGTGCAACTGGTATGCTTCACGGTACGACAATGGTGTTTTTTGCTTATATTGGTTATGATGTCTTCACAACAGCAAGTGAAGATGCGAAACATCCAAAAAGTATTTAAATATGATATTTAAATGCATAGTCGAGTGCCATTTTATTATTACTTAGAATAGAATAGAGCCACCTTATGGCATTGAATAGTTTATAGTTTAATTGTTGCTGTTGTTCTGTCATAGGTGTTGCATTTGAGCGTAAATCTAAACTTTTTTTATAATATTTTAATGATAATAAGGAGAAATTTTGTTTATAATAACAAAATCCAATATGATTATATATCATTGCCAACTGATCATTTTCAATTTGATTATCATCAATAAAGTCGGTATAATATACTATATTATTTGTATCACCATCCTTGTTATTTTTATTAAGAGTCTAGGAAAGAAATAGATGGCTAATGGATAGCATGAAAAAAGAAAGAGCTACTTTGAAAGAATATGAAATAAAGGTGCATTTTGTCCCTCAAACAGGTTTTGCATTCTTTTACTGCTTGTTCATAGTCTAATTTATGTTGATAGCATCTACTTTTATTCAAAAAATAAATTAAGCTTTTCTGTTACTTGTTTATCTTCAGTATATTTTGTTCATAAGTTTTAATTTTTTTTCAAACTGTTGACGACCTTGTTCATGCTTTTTTATTTACAGTAAAGAGAACCAATGGAATTGTAGGTGTTCAACAGTTTTGAAGGTTTGGCATTCAAAAACTCCAAACATTTTGAAAAAAACTCGATTGATGTTTCGTAGTAGTTCTTTTTCTCAGAACATTCAGCAAGATTCTTATTTATACGACCAAGTTCAGATGCTAAAACTCACAGAGATATAAAGACTGCATTCAGATAGATGCTCCGTAATCAGTTGTCATTTGCTCACAATCAGGACATTTCGTTGCTCGAATAGAACATGTTCGCATTATACCTTTAGGTTAAGGTCTTTTACTTCGCTTTTTTTATAACAAGACTCCCAGGAAGATACGTTTTGATAACCTAAAATTGTATTGTGTTTTTCTTTGAAATTTCAAGGCATATTGGTATGTGAGGAAACATAGTTTAGTTTCGACACAACAGTAAAAGGGAAATATTTCAAAAGATTTACGCGGAGAGAAAGACTAATCTTCGATAAACGAACTTGTGAACGGCTGAATCGTGTAACTCTGCTATCGGAGTGTGAGTTACGGTTTTTATTCTTTTTGTTTATGTCACAATACTTGAAAGCAACATTGTAGAAATTTGACAGACGTCTTGTTTTGTAGGTAAACGTATGCTTTCCAAAATCTATCCTGATATCAACTCGGTTCACGCAGTTGTAATTGCGCTACAACTAAAATGCAGTACGTTGAAAATTAAAATTTTTCTGCATGACAAACACCTAAATCGCCATAGATAAAAGCTATAACAGATGAATCTTCGGTCGTTTCTAATGCCATTTGAAAATAGTTTATAGCTAATTGGTATTCCAATTGCTTACAATATGTTAAACCGATTTTATTCAATGTTTCGGCACCATTTTGTTTCACGTCTAAGGCTTTTCTATAATATTCTATAGCTTTTGTACAGGGGGTCTCCCGAAAACCTCTGAAAACACTCTCAAAAGCCATTAATATGGTATCAAATCATATGTACTCTGAAAGTAGACACTTCAGGCTATCTTTGTATGTGCTTATCTCAAAATCCGAGAATCGTCAT